TAAAGTATTTTTATTTGCAAATTTGTAAGTAGCAACTTGCCTTCCAAATATTTCACAGTAATTTAAGTTTACCACTTGACATTAGAAGCAGTTAAACCTTACTAGGAGATAGCCAGCTCTCTGAAAATGTGTTTTTGTAGAGAACAATCTGTTTCTTAGACATAACCACAATCTGTTTGTCTGCAGTCATTTCCTCACAGAAAAAGGTTCATTTCAGACAATGCAACAATAGCTATTTAAAGTAAATACGATTAGTATTAGGGGTTAAACTATTTACAAACCTACAAATAAATGGGATGTTTACAGCAGTTAGAAGCAGCAAAAACAATATACACCTATACACACATATTAGATTTTCAGTACTCTGAATATTTCCAAATATATTATTTAATTTACTTTGAAAATTTTTTCTTTTTAGACTAAATATCCTGAATATTTATAGCCTGAGGATGTCAAGTGGGTGTCACAAATCATCATGATTATGAGCATCAATATGTCTTGGAGCAGGAATTTGTACAGGCCTATGGCACCAAAGCAGATTTTGTAAGAAATATGTTGTCTGGATGTCATGACTTCTTATTCAACTTTCAAATAATTGCAGTAGAATGTACACATTATAGAATGAACTCAGCCAGAGGCTGAGAAAGTCTCTGCCCTCCCCATGGTGCCTGTGCTCCCAGCTGTCCTGAAGATTCCATTTCGCTCAGGTCAAGTTCCTAGGAACATCTTCTGAGACTTGAGTTGCTTGGCATTGAGAGATCTGTCATGCCTGGACAACTGATTTCTCTTCCATGTCAGAATTTAACATTAAGAATACATGCATACTCTACAAAGAGCAGAGGAGATATTTAAAATAAATATTTAATCACAATGCCAGTCTTTTGTCTTACTTGCATGCATAATTGAGAATGAGTATTTGGATAATTTTTAAAGTATGTTAGACTATGAATGGCTTTGCTGTCTCAGATGAATAAACCTAAACTGTACTAAATTTCTGGTCAAAAACTTTAGGAAATATATTAAAGACTATACTCTATATTTCTAAATTGGACTTGGAATATGTTACAGTAATTTCTAAGTAAAAAGAGAGGTTTTGAACAATCAAATTTTGTTTTATAAGGACCAAGGAAAACTGGAGAGGTTTTGTTTTAGTTTTTATATACAAAAAGATTAAAAACAAAAGGATCTTTACTGTATGGAAATGCAAAATATCTAAATTCACATCATGGGAGATTCCTATGATGAAGTCGGAGTTGAAAATATAGTTGCTAGGCAAAAAAATAAACATTGAAATCACCTTGTGATGAAAGATGAGCTAGCTGCCATAAGAGTACTCTCTTAAGATTATTATACAGCAGTCCTATCTTCCTCTCTGGCCTTCAGAGGGAAACCAAGAATGAAATATGTTCTAATCTTCCAATTTGTATTGAGTATAACACGCCAAAATTATAATTATGGTGGAAGAAACATTAAAAACAACAGCTAGGTATCAAATCAACAGTGTCTCTCTGAAAAGTACTGACCAGAGTCTGTGACTTCAGCAGGGAAAAGCAGAGATGGGAGAGCATTTGAGGGAAAATGAGATAATTTTTATTACCTCTGCCTTCACAGAAGCTCTTTATTAGAATTTCATTCAAAAGAGAATATATGAAAACCAATAAGACTACAATCTTCTGGAAATATTTTAACACTGCCCAGTAAAATTTCTACAAGATCAAAAAGCAATTTGTCTTATACAAAAATATGATAATAAGCAAATGTTTAATGAAATTTATAACATCAGTCATCATACCTGAGTCAGTGAGGGAGGAGAAATAACAGCCTTCCTCCTGGCAAGAGGAATTAACTAAGATGACTTAACTCAAATCCTGCAGTCTGAGGAGATAGCTAATGTTTAAACAGGACTTTTCTCAAGAACTAAAAGCATGAGGGTATATCATACTGTGTGGTGGAATATTTAGTCCTGGTTATCAATAATTATTTTCATTAATTTGTATATATCAATAGATGGTTAAACATAATCTATTCAAACAGAATACTGATAATTTAACCAGGCTAAAGCAATTTCTTAGTTTTGTCAATTCAGTACCTACTGTGTAAATGGAGTGAAGTGCTCAATTGGACCTACCCCTGAAGCAGTAGAATGTCAGAGTGGACCAGGGAAGTGTAGGTACTGTTCTGGAATGGAGTGGGGTATGGCAGAGTAGAATACAGGCAATTAATTACTTAAACATAGGCAAGATCAGCCCTAATGTATGCGGAGTCTAAGGCAAGAGTACAAATGGGCCCATATATTCATTATATCTAAATATTTAAAAGTTAAATTTTTCATAACTGTCAAAATGTTTTATTATTTACAGCTAAATAGTAAGCTAAAAAATGCTTAAATCTATGGTTTTTGCATGACTAAATCAGCCAAATACCAGAGAGAGCTAAATTTAATTATTAATGTATATGGTTGGATATTCTGTTGATTGGCTGACACTCTCTGGGTAAATGTAAAATAAACACATGTGACTCATGAATTATTTTATATGTATTCTATAAATTCATTTGGATCTTTGTTTTAGAGAAATGAATTGTGTGATTATAAATAAGATTTTCATATAGTTTGTGTTCTAATGACATCTAAAGATGTAAAGAACTAACATAATAACATTTAATCATTTTCAGAGCTCATGATAATTGAATTATTTTCATTGGGAAATATACTATATATTTAAGCAAATGGAAAAAATTAAATTAAAACAAATTTTCTTGTATTTGTGCTTTAGAAAGTTTTTTTTCTCTAAAATACTCAATATTATCTACCAAAATAATGGGAAGAATACAAAGTATACTGAATGAATATTATAATTTGAAGTCTAGGTTTATATACAGCTGAATTATTAAATTTAACTTTTAAAAATCCACTTGTCTTACTAAATTATTTTACAAAACTAAAACTATTCATAACTATAACATTCAGTAGTAGTTCAGATAGCCACATAGAGAATAACCTTATATGTCACATAAAACTACTGCAAATATTATGCTTCCATGTGAATACTTCCCATACTATAAATTGGAACCTGAGAAATCTTTTTAGATAAGAATTTGTTGTTGTCATGCCATCCGAGAGAAGAATTTGGTAAGTTCCTTTGTGTTTTTCTGTTGCTGAGGTGTTTCAGATGATCACATCCTCCCCAAACTTTGAGTCAGCGCTTGTCCAGCAGCCTTCAATCATGGCTTTGGATAAATCGTGCACAAGAAAATATGTGGAAAAGCGTTTGCCTGGGGTCTAAGCAGCATGCAGTCCAGAGAGTGGATGTTCAGCTTGTAGGTTGTGTTGTGCCAGAAGCAGAGGAACCCATGTATTCTTTAACAATTTTATTTTTGTGGCTCTGTGACATATGTCCTGATGAAGTACTGGGCAAGGCCCACTGTTGTCCAGGCTGAATTTAGGGTGGCAGTGATGATAGGACCTGGAGTCAGACTGCCCACATTCATTAGAGGGACATACCACTTTTCTTATGTGCCTCTGCAGATCCTTCCAGCCATACATTCCCCAGAGCCCTTAGCTGCCATCCCAGACATTCCATCCCAAGCCATTGCTGCTGCAATGATCCACGCATGGGCTCCAAATGGTTTCAGAGGGAGGCAAATCAACTCCACCCTGAGCCATTCCCCTGCAGTGTCTTTGGTGCCTCTACTATACGTCTGTTGATGAAAAACCATAAAAAGCCAGGAGATCATTTTGACAACCGTGCTTGCCCAATCCAAAAGTAAAGTCAGAAAAATATTTAACCAATGGGACACACAAACCCATGAATACTCCTTCCTTTGTCTCTCCTTCAATGGATAGACAGTCCTGAGATGCATTCATTATGAGGTCTGCCAGAAGATGACCCTGAGAGAGCCAGAACACTTGAACTTGAAAATATATGATCTTATGTAAATGAACTTGTGTCTCATTTTTCTCATATGGAAATAGGTAATGATAGTATTAATCTCTTGGAATAATTGTACTGACCAAAGGCATTTATATGTAAAAAATACTTAGAACATTTCCTGACACGCTTTTGTAGAAAGTAGAACCTGAGAGAAAATATTTTTACATTTTCTTTTCCCAGTTCTGAATTTTTCAAATAGACAGCGATCCTTTTGGTTTCATCACTATGTTTTCATTCATCTACATATGTTGAGCATAACCCTTCGAGCAGTCACTACACTATGTACTAGTGATTTGGATAAAGAACATGGTTCTTCTATAACACAAGCTCAGAGCCTTGTGGGGAAGGCACAAAAATTTAAAACAAACAATAAATACTGACAGGGATATTAACTACACCATGAAGCAGAAATTAGTTACCTGAAACAAGCAGCTTGAAAGCTCATTTTAGATGAAACTATAGCTTAGCCAAATTTTGAATGGCACAGGATAGTTAAGTGGGATAAGTTAAACATTGAGATCATTTCAGAGAGAAAGCAATGAATGCACAAGTATTCACATAGAAGAGTACATTTAGATATTATAAGCAGTTCTACATTTTTATATTTAAATCTCAAAGTGTGAAGAAGGAAGATACCACTGAAAAGTAGCAAGGACAACATCGTGAGCAGTTATGCAAAATATCTTAAGATGTTAGTTTTTATCCTGAAGGCATTCAGGAGCCATAGAAAGAGCTTGGGCAGAAACAATAGACTTACAGAAAAAAACACTCTAGATGGTAGAATAATGGGGGGGGGATCAGAGAAGGTTGAATTCAGTAACTCATACTAAAAACATTACCTGAACCCAAGGAGTGGCAAAGATGGTGGGGATGGAAGGAGTGAAACAGACATATAGGTAAACAAATAAATATATGACTGAAGATAGGGAGTTAGATAATTAAATATTTACAATAGGCATTATAGATTAGTTATATGTATAGATAAGTGTATGTAAAATACCATATGATCTCACCACATATATATGTAAATATATAGTCATATTTATATAGACATGTATAGCAACTTACAGAGTGATGGATTGAGAGAGAGATTTCCACACCATTCTCAGATCTCAGTTCAGAAGTGATGGAAGATGGTACCAAAAACCAATATAAGGCACATGAGAGGAGGAGTGCTTAGCGATGGAGGTTGAAGTGTGTATGACAAGTTCAGTTTCGAATGTTTTAAATGTGAGAGGTCTGTGTGACAATCAAAAGCAGATACCCAGCATTCTGGAGCAGTGCAGGTTGCATTGATTTTCTGGTGAGAGAAAGCAGGAAAAAAAGGAGTTTAAAAATATCAAGTGCTTTGAAGAAAATGTGTTCTCTTGAAAATGTTTTTATAAACATTAATATTGATATACAACTAAACAGAAATAAATACTAAATATTTAGTTTCTTTGACTATATACTCAGCTAAGAAATTCAAGTTTGCTTTGTTTTCATTAATTTTTTCTAACATTCATCAAAGTGAGAAGAGGGAAATAATTACAAAATATAATAAACAATGATCTGAATTACACATAGCAAAAATATAACAGTTGACAGTTTCTGTATATTTGGGGCACTGCGGTAAACAGCATGGAATTTCCTAAAAAATAAAAAATCCAAAAAACGAACTAAAGATGGAACTGGCTTTCTATCCAGCAATCCCACTGCTGGGACTATACCCTAGGAACACTGAAACAATTCAGAAGAACCCATGCACCTCAGTGTTCATAGCAGCAATATTTAAAATAACCAAGAGCTGGAAGCACCCTAAGTGCCCATCAGTAAATAAGTAGATCAAAAAACTGGTACATTTACATACTGAAATGCTATACAACAGAAAGCACAACTCCTACCCTTCATGACAGCATAGATGGAAATGGAGAGCATTATGCTAATCAGGGGTGTCAAACTCATTTTTCACTGGGGGCCACATCAGCCTTGTAGTTGATTTCAAATGACCAAGTGTAATTTTAGAACTGTATGAATGTAACTGCTCCTTAACAGTTAAGCAAGAGCTCAGCGCTGCTACCAGGTAGTACTGGTCCAGATAATAGAAGGTGGAGGCATGGATGCAGCCTGTGGACTTTGTGTTTGCCACCTGTGTGCTAAGTGAAATAAGCCAGGTGGTAAAAGACAAATACCATATGATCTCACCTATAAATAGAACCTAATGAACAAAACCAGCAAGCAAGCAAAATAGAACCAGAGACTTGGAAATAAAGAACAAATGGACAGACACCTTAGGGGAGCGGATGGGGTGAGGATAATGGGGGAAAGAAGGAGGGACAAGCAAGGGAACAGGAATGAAGGACTGGTGGACAGAAACAATGGGGGGATTGACTGTGGGAGTGGGGAGATGGGGTAGGGTGAACAGTGGGGAAAAAGGTGGGACAACTATAACTGAACAAACAATAAATAAAAATATGTTAATGTTAGGTATCATATGATAAATATGTCAAAATAATTGGAGACAGATAACGTTCTGGTAGTTGCTACTACATAGATCCTTCAGGAAAGGCTTCTTAGGAAGTGATATTTAGGCAGAAATCCAGGAAAGGAACCTGTCATGTAAGGACAGGGGAATGTTGCATAGAGAGAATAGTGTCATACAGACTATTGAACTGAAAAATCTCTACAAACCATACTATTCTATAAAAACCATCCCCCCACAAGTAAATTCTTAGCTATCAAATTATTTTAGTAGCATGGCTTCTAGAAACTGAAGCATGTGCTTGAAAATAAAATTCAGCTTCTTAATCACTAAAGTATTGAATACTTGGGCAAAGACCAACTTAGAACTGAACTGGTTGAAACTGAATACTTTGGTTAATTACAAAAATGTCAGAGTTCCAATGGACTGTGGCATGGAAGTCACCCATGGACCTCATAGACAAACTTGTAGTACCTATGGCTACTGAACTGTCTCAACAGTGTAGGGAAATACAAATTTAATATATTTAAGACATACAATTTTATATCTGAGAGGATATGCCACAGATTTCATTTAATCTGTATCAAAACCAGAGAATTATTATTAAATCATAATAAAACTCTATGTCCTGTATAAAGTCTGACTCATACACATGCAGTATAAAAATGAAATCTATTACAGCCACAAATTTATGGCAGCCAAATGAACTGGCTATTTGAAAATGTGAATTTTCAGGGCTGCCATTTTCTTTGGCAGGGATGGATTGCTTCTAAAATAAACCCCAGTGAACAATCTTCCCCATTAATTACATGTGTAACCACCAGCTGTTAGTTCAAATTAAGGCCTATTTTCTACCAGTTTTCCATGCCCCTATCCCATAATCACCAAAATAACTGGAAATAATTTAACAAGGATAATAGTAGGAAGATTCTTATATACAAAAACTGTGAACATAACTCCAAATAGCGGTACAGGATAAGCTACACTCTTCTAACACCTACTCAGTTGGACAGCTAAGACATTAAAATGCATGTAATACAATATTCAGCACATTGTGGGTTTTGTTAAATGGACTAGTAACATGAAAAGCACACGATAGTTTTTTAAATTTTAAGTACACTTTATTTTAAATACATAAATGAAGAGCTTTTGTTAAGTATATTTCACTGATTAAGTTATTATAATTGTCCCTTTTTTTCTCCCCATTATCACCCTCCACTCTGCACCCCTTCTCCCTCCAGCATTCCCCACTCCCACCTTAGGTCAACTTCATCGGTCGTACATATAAGTTCTTTGGCTTATCTGTTTTCTATTTAACCTCCTCCTGTCTATCTTATACCTGCCATCTGGGCTTCTTATTCCCTGTACCTTTCTCCCCATTCTCCCTGTACCCCTGCCCTCTATCAGGTGATTTTTCAGAAGAAACTTTATAGGCAAGAAGAGACTGGAAAAAAGTATTCAAAGTCATGAAAGGCAAAAATCTACATCCAAGATTACTCTATCCAGAAAAGCTTTCATTTAGAATGGAAGGGCAGATAAAGTGCTTCTCAGATAAGGTCAAGTTAAAGGAGTTCATTATCACTAAGCCATTATTCTATGAAATGTTAAAGGGACTTATCTAAAAAAAAAGTAGATCAGAACTATGAATAATAAAATGACAACTCACAACTATCAACAACTGAAACTTAAAACAAACAAACAAACACAAACTAATTAAACAAATAGAACAGGAACAGAATCACAGAAAAGAGCTTTTAATCAAATGAACTTCATTTGAAATACTTGGGACCAATTCCTATAAACTTAACTAAAGATGGTGTAGTCTTTTAATGACTCAGCAATCACAGACATGTTTAGAAGCAAAGTCAGTATATTTACATAGATATTGACCATTGCAAAGTTAGAGATAATGAAAATCAAATGATCTGTGTCTTAGATTTATTTTAATGTGAGAGGTAGCAGCAATATATATCACCAGTGTATTGTAAAAAAACTTGATCCCCAAATGTATATCTATCCCCACTCACAAAAGTAGCTTTGAGTTTTTATACATTTTGTTGCTATTTTTTCCTTAAAAATGACTTGTATGGCCTATAATAATTTTAGATCAGATTCTCATTCTCACCAATTCCTGGTTTTTTTGGAGTCCTCCTGGGTTAAATCTTTACTTCCAAATTCTTCCCAGAAAACTTCTATCCTCTTCTCAACTTCAGATTTTGTCATAGTTTTAGCTAACACATAATATCTTGTACATACAAGACACTGTTCTTTGTATACCTTGACTTACATATATGTAACCCATATTAATGCACTGAACCCTCGTTTAGATTATTAAAAGCAAATGTATTATTATCATCCCTATTTTATAGATGAGAAAATTAAGAAATAAGTAAGTGTTACAAATTGGAAGTGGGTGGTAAAAAAAAAAGTTTGAAAAGGGGCAAATGGCTCCTGAGTCCTGCTTTTGGCTTCTACATTCTACTAGTCTACCATCTCTTTCCGACCCTCATATTTGCATATGGTACTGCATTATTATCCTTTACATCATGATTTCCTCTTTTATATGAGGGGTTCATAACAAAAATTACACATTTTAAGTCTTTGTCTTCAGAGGCAATTATGATATTTAGTATTGTATAGACATGCAAAAATAAATATTGAATAAATGAATCATAACTGACTGGAATAGGCACTCCTGTCAAAGATACCTAGTTATAAGCTTTCCTTCTTCTTTTCAAAAAAATATATTTTATTGATTATGCCATTAAAGTTGTTCTATTTCCCCCTTCATTCCCCTCCACCCTGCATACCCCTCCCCCACCATTTCCCCCTTTAGTTTATGACCATGTGTCTCAAGTTCTTTAGATTCTATATTTCCCCTACTATTCTTGCCCTCCCCCTTATCTATTTTCTATCTACTGTCTATGCTACTTATTTTCTGTACCTTCTACCCCCTTATCCTTCTCCCACTCTCCTGTTGCTAACCCTTCATGTGATCTTCATTTCTATGTTTCTGCTCCTGATCTAGCTGTCCTCTTAGTTTGCTTTTGTTTTAGGTGTGGTTGTTGATATCTGTGAGTTTGCTGTTCTTTCACTGTTCCTATTTTTTATCTTCTTTTTCTTAGATAAGTCCCTTTAACATTTCCTATAATAAGGGCTTGGTGATGATGAACTCCTTGAATTTGATCTTATCTGAGAAGCACTTTATCTGTCCTTCCATTCTAAATGAAAGCTTTGCTGGATAGATCAATCTTGGTTGTAGGTCTTTGGTTTTCATGACTTGGATTACTTCTTTCCAGCCCCTCCTTGCCTGTAAGGTCTCTTTTGAGAAATCCACTGACAGTCTGATGGGAAGTCCTTTGTAGGTGACTGTCTCCTTATGTCTTGGTGCTTCTAGGATTCTCTCCTTCGTTTGAATCTTGGCTAATGTAATGATGATGTGCCTTGGTGTGTTCCTTCTCTCTGAGCTTCCCGGATTTCCTGGAAGTCTATTTCCTTTGCCAGAGTGGGGAAGTTCTCCTTTATTAGTTGTTCAAATAAGTTTTCCACTGGTGGCTGTTCCTCTTCCTCTTCAGGTATCCCTTATAATTTGGATGTTGGAGCATTTAAAGATGTCCTGGAGGTTCCTTAGCCTCTCCTCATTTTTTTGAATTCTTGTTTCTTCATATTTTTCTGTTTGGTCATTTTTTTCTTCCTTCTGGTCTGCTCCCTTGATTTGAGTCCCAGTTTCCTTTCTATCACTATTGCTTTCCTGTGCATTTCCCTCCATTTCAATTAGTTTAG